CCTAGATCTACCTGAATCACTCGTTCTAGCCAGGAAGGGTGGCTGAGGGGCTTAACACCGAGGGAGGCCCGGAGAGAAAGAACAAGAAACAGCACCCTCACATTTGGAACAGTCTGCCCCCAGAGATCTGTCTGGCTCCCTTGCTGGGTGTTTTTAAGAGCAAACTGAAGACCTGGCTCTTTAGGCAGGCTTTCCCTCCTGTGATTACTTGAATTTTTTCCCCATCTTGAACTATATTAGTTGTTGTTGTTTTTATTATATTGTCTTTATTCTGTTTATTATTGTTAGCCGCCCAGAGTAGACTTCGGTCTAGATGGGTGGGGTATAAATTTAATAAATAAATAAGTAAAAAAAAAAATACTGGAATGAGGATCCTGAGGACGATTTGTGGCTGATTGCATCATCTCCTTCTAGCTGTTTGGGGTACAGAGAAGTTACCGGAATATTGTTCGGGGAGGCGGGGTTGTAGCTGTCTGCATTCATCTCATCTAGCCACACATGTGTTGTGAATTTGTTAGGTTATCCTATTTGGAAATTGTCATTCTAGGCCATTGTGTTCCAATATGGCAGGTTTGGGGCAATACCAGGTTAATAAAAGAGTAATATTCATTAGGTTTGAGGTCTAAAATATATTTTGGATGTTTTTCCAGCTCATCTCACTGTTCTTGGTGTCAGTAATTGGTCTCATAAATGAGATCAAAAACCACGAAACAGGAAAATCCAGGCTTCCCTCACTCCCGATTGAAGTGAACTGCTTGAGTCAACACAGTTCCGGGACATGAACTTTTGGACAACCTGTATTTAAGTCTGTTTCGATTTTACTAAAAAGAAACCACTTAATATTGTATCTTTACTGTTCAATGACTCAATCTTGGTAACGTAAGGCCAAATTCATTATCTATAGGGAAACTGTTCTGTTCAAAGGACTAGAAAGGCCAATTATTAAACAACATGAGTTTATTTAAGTGAACAAAGAAAACATTTCTCTACAATTTCATTTCTAAACATCAGCATAACATTCAGCACCTTCTATAAAACTTAACTATTGAACAAAACAAAATCTAAACTATAAACTAAGGAAAACAAACGATATTCTTACGCAGTCCATATTGTTAAATCAGGTCCCTTCGTCTGGATCAAAGATATTCAGCGCCATATTTTCGGATACCCAAAACTCTCTTCTAATCTCCCTCTCTCTAGAGTCCCTTTTTCCAACCTCTTGTAAATTTCTCCAACCTGCCCCTTCTTGACATACTCGACCAATCACGAAGGAAGGAATTAACATAGGGTACGCCCTACTTTCTCACCAACCACAAAGAATTGTTTATAATTCAGGTTAGAAATATTTTGACTCTGCTGTGTTTTTCTCTCCAGCTGCAGCGATAAGCTTGGCGACATGAAGCTGAAAATAACTACTAGTAATTTTCCAGAACTTAGCCTGTGTCAGACTCAAAATGGATTTCTCTATGGTTAAAACATGACTACATAACCCATCTCTAATTAGAAAAATACATTTCATCACACTTGGCATCAGTTTTTAGTGAGAGGTTCCTGTTCCATCCAATTCTGTTCTGTTCCATCTTTTACCTAATCCCTAAGAATACATAGAAAGTTTCACAAGCTGGTTCTCTCCTAAAGATGGTGACCAGATGACATCTTTGCTGGAGCGAATCAGCCTGCCCCAGAACAGTTCTACTTACAACTTTTCTGGCCTATTTCAGGCCTTTTTTTTTTTTTTTTTTTTTTTGGGGTGCAAGTAAGACTACTCTCCTTGCTTCATTCCCAGAATGCGTAAGACTACTGAGAATGAACTAAAAGCCTTCCTCCTTTGATTTGCCAATATCATGAAGTGGCATCAGAAAAGAGCCACTTCAGAATATTGACTAATTAAACACATCCTCTGCTCATTGGCAAAGGAAGTGGGGGGGAAAAACTTTAGACTCCATTAAAGCAGTGAAAATGTGGTACATCACTGATTAAAGCTAATTTTTAGTTTTTTTCTGAGCTTGTCTTAAAAGGACACTCAAGAAAGCAAAGTGATGTGTGGTTGAACTGCTGTACTGCAACCAAAACTGTGTTCAGGCTCTTGAGTAGACTTTAAGATCAGAGAATTAGGTATGTGTATTTGGCATTCACATTCACATACTTCAGATTATGACTTAGCTGCAAATACTAGAAGGGGAAGAAGGCATCCATGGGGAGAGAGGGCAGAACCTCCTATCCAGAGACCACCACCTTGTATAGCTTGTGAAATGCAAATGCAGTGTTTGCTGGCCTGGCTTTCCCACTATGCCTCCTTGCATATCTATTTTGCCCTCTCCTCCTCCTGTATTCAGCAATAGGACATTGTAAAACAGAGAGGGGGAGGAACTGGGTGGGGGAGAAGGCGAAAGCAGAGTTTTCCAAATAGTTCAATGAGACAATTGCAGGATTGCTTCTTTTTTTGGGTTTCAGATGACACCTTGTGCATCCATACTGGCAAAGACTAGAGCACAGAAAGCCAAGTAGCACCCAAGCTATTCTAATCAGTCAAGCAGACAAATGTGAAGGAAGAGCAGTTTTGAAGAAGGGACCAGTCTGAAGAAACAGGATCTTGGAGGGAGGAAAGGAGACCAAGGAGTAAGGGGAGGAGATGGAGTGATCTGACAGAGCGAATAGGAAAGGACCTTGCAGGACCCAGGTTGCAGAAGATTACCAGAGTTTTCAATACCCACATGGTGGCAGAGCTACATCACTGTAGTCAAGATACCAAATGGCTGCTCCGTTGGCAAGCATGTGTCACCAGATGGAGCCTCTTTGTCTTCACCCTCCGGGATAACACAAGACACAGCAATCTTTCATTTGCAATCCTGGCAGGGAGAGGATGCGAGCGTTTATTTAAAGAAATGCACCACCCACTGTTTGGCCTCTTTAGAGTTTTGCAACCCACCAACCCACCCAGTAATCAGTGTGAGTTAGACTGGTCACCTCTGGGGCCAGATAGGAATCTTTGACCAGCTGCTTGATTGGCCGGAAGTGGCAGGGATTTTTTTGCGTATCCCACACTGATTGGAAATTGAGGCTGTTAAAGGATGGTTGCTAGGTTGGTCACGGTGGCGAGTAGTGCAGAAGGAAGTTGGATCAGTGAGTCCTGGTGACAGCACAAGCAAGGTATAGTTCATCTGAACTCCCAGCGCTGCGGATCAAGGGATTACAGCGTGCGGGGGGTATGTGCTGGGGCCACTCCCAGGTCAAAGGCCACCAAGGAAATTGGGGGTTGAGGCCTGGGGGTGGTCAGAACATAGCTGGCTGGGCTTGTGCTGTCTATAGGGGTCTGTTGAGACCTTGTTATATCCTTTCTGCACTACAGCAGGCCTCTCTCTGTTGTTACATTGATTAATAAAGTGTGGCCCTGATTTATTCCATTATTTTGTTTGTTACCTCATCATTCCGAAGTGGGAGAGCAAAGAGGTGAAAACAAGAAAGTGGTGGGTTGCAGTTCAAGAACTAATTAAGTCTAATTATGCAGGCATAGATTTGATGAAAGGAGAGAACAAGAACATAGTGATGCTTTACAGAACCAAAGAAGTTCACACCTTGGTCCCATGCACCAGATAAAAGACTAGTGACTACACACACACACACACAGAAACACACATATAGTGTTTTATTTGGTGTTTTATTATCACACTATATTGTGATCCACCCTGAAGGTAACTGAATGAAAAATGTGTGTTAAAGACTATGCTCTATTAACAGGAAGGAAATGGACTTTTGTAAGTTTATGTCGCAATGTGATTTGTAAACTGATGACTATATACCATATTTTTCTGTGTATAAGATGATACTTTTTACTTAAAAAAAATTGAGGATCGTTTCATACACAGAAGGCAGCTGCTTCCCCTGCCTTTTGTGAAGCCACAGGGTAACGTAGCTGTGAAAGGGCGGCAGGATCATACCCCTTTGATCCTGAAGCAGCCATGAAAGGACTTCAGGATCAAAGGGGTGCGAGTGTGCCTAAGCCTATCTAGTTCTGCAATATCCAGTAGCTTCTTATTAGTTCCTCCATTATTGGTATATCTCCATTCTTTCATTTTTGGCCCAGAGTAACCTGGCTGCTGTATATATATACAGTAGGCTATATTTTATTTTTTAAGCAGTGATAAAGCTTTATATTCAATAACAACATTTCAGGTTTAAATTTAATTTTTGCTGAACAATTTCTTGTGACATTTCCCAAACCTGTAACCATTTTTTTGTATGCTTTAGTGTTTAGTCTATGGGAAATGTAATGCATACATTTTTAAAATGGGCAAATTTAACATGTATATTTTACTAAATGTATATTAAAAGTGCAGTTTTTCATGGCCAATCTGCTTCCCCACAAAAATATGGAATATGATATGTTAGAAAGTCAGATGAGCTTTGTGACAGAGACTGAAGAGCCTAACAACCTTCAGTTCCACAAATTCAATAGTACATTCGTGCCCCGCTTTACGATTGCCCCGCATTACGACGAAACCACATTATGACAAAGCGATCGCAAAACGATGGTCTGAATAGGGGTTTTTCACTTTGCGATGATCAGTTCCCTGATTTGGGAACCAATTCTTCACAAAACAATGATTTTCCTACAGCTGATCAGTGGTTTCAAAATGGCCACCAGGTAAATAAAATGGCTCCCCGCTGTTTTCTGGGATGGATTCCTCACTGCGCAGGCACAGAAAATGGCTGCCCTATGGAGGATCTTCGCTGGACAGTGAGTTTCCAGTCCATTGGAATGCATTTAAGGGGTTTCAATGGGCTTTTTATTTTCGCATTACGCCGTTTTCGTTCTACGGCGATTTCACTGGAACGAATTAACATCGTAATGCGAGGCACCACTGTACTAGTTCCTGAACATATCTCCCATCCTGTGCAACTGGCTAGTCACGAATCTTTTGACAGTATTCATCATCTTATAACTGCAGAATTTTTGAAAAAACAGCTGCAAATATTGCTCTTCTTTATTTTTTCCCCAGAAGACAAAGTATGGACTATTGTAAATCATGACCTGCAAGAGCGAACTTCTGTGGTAAGCAACAGGCCTGAGAAGCATGCTTTGCTACAACTTAATTACAATGCCACCATGGATCAGATCTCTGCCATCACTGGTAGCGCTGAGTACTGTGAGCAATTCATTTCCTACTTCTGTAAACAGTCAAGGCTGCTGAATACCCCAGGTAAGATAAAAATAGGTTACTACTGTCCTGAAAAATTCTTGTTTTGTAGTGGAGCCTAGATAGGTGAACAGCAGTATGTGTTTAATGTTTTCCAAAACAATTCACCAGGTTTTGCTGTAGGGTTAAATCAAGGCTAAAGTACATTTAAAAAAAAATTAAAAAGAGGCTTATGAATCCAGCTCAAGCAAGAAGAACATATGCATATGAAACCATTTCCTTAAGCGACATTTAACAACCTTTTCCATAGTGATATCATTTTGGTCTACTTTTATGTTGCTGCTAAAGAATTTATTTCGTGTCTCATGAATTTTAATATAGTGGAAAAAACAAGTATTTTTTGATTCATATGTTTTCTCTCTGCTCTTGTATGAATTATAAGATATGTCTAAAAATCTTTGCTTCTGCCATCTTATTTTTGCACAAAGGAGAATGGTTGGTCTTTAGAAAGAGATAATTAATTTAAGCAGAAGCCACATCCCCCAGTCTGAAAGCATGATCCCTAGTCTCTGATGCTGAGAATTAAGGGATTCATCATAATAACTCTTCAGTGACTCACCAGGGAGGGAACAGCATCATGCCCACTATGCAGTGAATTAAAGTAAGAAACATACTCTGGAAGAGTGCTGTGCTTTTGAAAACAGGACCATCTCTGACTGCTTTGAATGTTATTGAAAAAGAGGGTCACAAAGTGCATAAACCCCTGATTTCCTGTTTTTCTACATTAATGTTCTTCAATCTAGATTCCTTCACATGTAATCACAGTAACAGAACTCTAGCCAGCAGAGCTTGGATGGAATAGATGGATGTCATAGTTTAATGCTTGAGTTTAATGCTTGGGTATTTTGGTGAAACACATTTAGTGGTTGTTGTGGGTTTTTTGAGCTCTTTGGCCATGTTCTGAAGGTTGTTCTTCCTAACGTTTGGCCAGTCTCTGTGGCCGGCATCTTCAGAGGACATCACTCTGCTAAGAGCACAGAGTGCTGTCCTCTGAAGATGCCAGCCACAGAGACTGGTGAAATGTTAGGAAGAACAACCTTCAGAACACGGCCAAAGAGCCCGAAAAACCCACAACAACTATTAGATCCCGGCCATGAAAGCCTTCGCGAATACATTGGAACACATTTCTTTCCATGTTTTGGGGTGAGAAAAGTATGGCTTACAGGCAACATGGTGGGACCTGGGTAAGCACTGCAAACTCGTCAGCCTTCATGCCCCCATAATTGCTTTAGTATGGAAATGACCTGATGCATTTTCCCAAATCTCAAGTCACACAATTGTGTAAAGGCTACAAGGGAGGGGAGTAGGAAGGCTTGTTTTAGGACCCAAATAGCCTTTTATAAAGGCTTCCATTCCCCCCCCCCAAAAGTTTGTTTTAAACCTGAAATATGCTGATGGGAGGAATTTTTCAAATTCTTTTAGGAACAACTGGGCAATTTTATGCTGAACCTTTTTTCCTCTGCCAAGAGGAAGTTGAAGAGAAATGAAGGTTACCACCTGAGGGAATTCAGGGAAGGCAAAATAGTCCCTGAACACAATGAAGTTGCTGAACCCTATTCTTTGCGGTAGCCTGTAGGAATAGGAAAGGCTACCAGCAGCTGTGCAACTTGATATATGGGACTGTGTCCTGAACATATACAAATATTTTCATTCTGATAACGGAAAATGTGGCATTATAGCATATTTTGCATCTTTCCATCCTCCCTTGAAAGTGGGTGTGGTGATCTGAAAACACCAAATTGTGCAAGGAACAAATGTAACAAATTTCAGTTTGCTAAGGAGATACTATGTTATTTGAAACCAAGTTAGGAGTTTCAAAGGAGGACAGGAGTTTTCAAAGAAGTTGCTTGTGTTTAGAAAGAAAACATATATTTTATTTTGTCAGATTTTAGCTATATACATTTGAGATTCAGAGTATAGGATATTTTTAGGGTTTTACATGTATTACTTCTTTTTAATTTTTTTATTAAAACACATATACAAAAACTACAGTTTTACAGAACACTACCATATATCTGCTTATAACATACCACAACCCCACTTCTCAGCTCTGTGCGACCCACCCCTACTTGGGAATAGTTTCATGTTCTTCCTTCTTATATTTCAAACCACCAAATTTCTCTCCAGTAAAACACTGATTCTTCTGATATATACCCCTTCCCTTTCTGAAACACATGTACTGAAAGCAAATTCCATATTTCTTTAAAATAATTACATTTCATCATTCTTTTTCTAATCTTAATATCACAGGTTAATTTATCATTAATTGCCACATTCCACATTTCTCTATACCATTCCTCCATACTAATTTGATTATTACTTTTCCAACTTTTTGTGAAATTAAGCTTACCAGCATCAGCAATATAATAATTAATTCCTTTTCTTCTCTCTTCAATTGATTATTATTAACCACATTCAATAAAGCAATAATTGGGGACATTTGTATATTCACACCAATTATTTCTCATATCTCCATAAAAATTATTGTCCCTTTTTCCTTCCTTATTTCAAACAGCCACCACATGTGTATATATGTCCCCTTTTCTTTTTTATATCTCCAGCATAAAGAAGACATGTTTTTATTTTTTACATTTAACTTTACCAATGGTACATACCATCTCCACACTACTTTATAACAGTTTTCTTTCACTCTTACAGACATATTTACCATTATTCATTTATTCCACATTTTACTCCAATCTTCCCTTTTAATTTCCTCATTCACATATTCTTGCCATATATCTCTTTCGTATTCTGCCTATATTAACATTTTATATATTACTGTTCCCTTTCTATTTTCCATTGTTCTATCTATCTATCTATCTATCTATCTATCTATCTATCTATCTATCTATCTATCTGTCTGTCTGTCTGTCTGTCTGTCTGTCTGTCTGTCTGTCTGTCTGTCTGTCTGATTGATTGATTGATTGATTGATTGATTGATTGATTGATTGATTGATTGATTGATTGATTGATTGATTGATTGATTGATTGATTGATTTTTATACTGCTCATCTGGCTACCAAGGCTACTCTGGGCAGTTTACAAAAACAATAATAAAACAATAACATAAAAAACAAAAATAATAACAACCAAACAAAATATAAGAACTGCTAGAACAAATTACACTAAGAAATAACACAATAAAAGCATAATAAAAGCATTTCAATAAAAATATTTTCTCTCTTTTTTCTGTGGCTACTACTTTCATAGCATCCCATATTATCTTAGTTTTCCTTCCCCCTTCTTCATTCATCATCCGGGTCTCTTCCATTGTTTATTTTATTTTATTGAAAAGTATCCATTATATATTTAAGATGATAAATGTTTGCATCAATTTTACATCTTTTTATTTCTCTGTAATCACATTTAATAGAAAATTCCATATTGACTTTAGCATGATCTGATATTTGTATAACATTAATATCTATGTTATTTATCCTTGCTAACAAATCTTTGGATACAAATATATAGTCAGTTCTTGAATAGATCTTATGGACTGACAAGTTGAAGGAGAACTTTCATCATCTTTTATTTCCCTTCCTCTTCAAATATGCATCTGCAAATAATTATTCTAAAATAAACATTTTGCATGCAATTTGGTAGAATATTTTGGAACAAGGGAACAGAACTGCAAAATATGGTTGCAGGACTTGACCTTACCAATAGAGATGACCTGGTGGAAGGAGTGGAAACAAGAGGAATTCTGGGGGAAAGTGACAATGTTTTAATTGAGTTCTTGATTTCAAAAGAAACAAAAACAAAGTGTAGCCAGAAATATACATTGGATTTGGGGAAAGCCAATTTTAATAAATTCAGAACAATGATAGATAAGGTCCCATGGCAGGAAATCCTAACAGGAAAATGAGTCCAAGATGGGTGAGAATTTCTTTAATTGGAAATTCCATAAAGGAAAATATAAGGGCCTGACTCCCTTTCTTTCTGTTTGCTGAGTCCTAACAGAGCAGAGTGGAGAGATAAAACTGAGACAGACCCCCCACAAGTGAGCAAACAGGCAGCACAAACAGGAGTTTGATGAGTGAGTTCAGGGGGGAAGGCCAAGGGGAAGGGTCCTAATTTTTTTCTTTTTAATTTGGCTTCTATAATTAATTATACAGTATATTAGTAGACTTTCCCAGTAACCTTTAAGGCCGACAAGACAAAGGGCACACAGACAAACAAAGGAAAGCCAGAAGGTAACAGGGGTTATGGAGGGAAGAGATGCTTCATTGGTGGTGATCTGCAAGGTGTGTGCAATGTTCATCTTGGTGCCAGAGAACACCAAAGCATACATGTGCAGCAAGTGCAAACTGGTACCATTGAAAGAAAAATGAAACAATTGGAGGAGAGAGTACCCAGGCTTAAGGCTATAAGAAAAAGAATGAAGAGTACATAGATAGAACTCTTCAGCAGCAGCAGTCATGAGGGGCACTGGAGGTGAAAAAGCAGCAAGACAAAGCAGTGGACGAGAATGCTGATGATAGAACAAATATAGTGCAGGAAGAACCATGGAAAAGTGTCACAGTTAGGAGCAAAAGAAAGAGAAGACATTCTTCATCAGTGGAATGGCAAAACTGTTTTCAGATTCTTGAAGAGGAATCTGCCAGACAGCATTCAGGGGGAGACATACAGAAGACCCCACAGGAGAACATGAAAAAGGCTGAAGCTCAGCAAAACACTATCACTTACAACCTGCAAAAAGAAGAGATGAGTAGTTGTAGTAGAAGACTCCCTACAGAGTTGGATTGAAACTGAAGTATGACAGGATGATCCACTGACCCACAAGGTATGCTATTTCCCTGGAGAACAGATTAGGAAGTGATGGAAGGACTGCCATCACTCATAAAACCCACACATATATATCCCTTTCTTCTCCTCCATGTGGATGTGAATGACAGTCAAGAAGAGGTATGGAGAAATCATGTGAGACTTTGACACTTTCAGAAGGAAACACAAGGACTTTGGGGCACAGATAGTCTCCTACCAGTATGCAGAATAGAAAG